CTCTCTCTCTCTCTCTCTCTCTCTCTCTCTCTCTCTCTCTCTCTCTCTCTCTCTCTCTCTCTCTCTCTCTCTCTCTCTCTCTCTCTCTCTCTCGGAAAAAATACTTATTGAACTGTGTCCCAAAAAACATAGGGGAAGCTTCGAACTGTAGGGTCCATACTAGTTCGACACTTCTGATACGTCCGTAATACAAAATGTTGTGGATGATTATACGGTGCTTGTCTTTTCCATCTCTCAGCCCTCTGGCGTGCTAATTTGTCATTTCTTGCGGACTTCCTCTCTGTGTCTATCTCCTGAAGATACATCCGAACTTCGGTTATCTTGGAAATTCACATTGCCTTGCTGCTCTCCTACAACGATCATCTAAAATGTTTTTAAAAGCGAGGCTGATGATCTACGCGCGTGCTCGACCCTGCGCCTCTTGTGCGGCGTCTCGAGAAAATTTAGTACAGTCTCTTTGAGACTCTCTGTCTCTCGCTCTTTCTGTCTCTCTGTCTCTTTCTATATCTCTCGCTCTTCAAATGTACACGACCATTTCTTGCGGACTTCCTTTCTCTGTCTATCTTTTGTGATCTCGGATACATCCGAACTTCACTTATCTTGGAAATTCACATTACCTTGCTGCTCTTCTATGACGATCATCTGAAATGCTTTAAAAAGCGAGGTTGATGGTCTACGCGTGTGCTCGACCATGCGCCTCTTGTGCGGTGTCTCGAGAAAATTAAGTACAGTCTCTCGCTCTTTCTGCCTCTCTCTCTCTCGCTCCTTCTGTCTCTCTCTCTCTTTCTATCTCTCTCGCCCTTCAAATGTACATGGTCATCGGTGCAGAACTCCAATTCATTCTAGTCCTCACACTTCTAAATACAAGTCATCTTACTCCTCAAAGTCAGTGAAGAGCCACAACTCGTTGTACTCCTCACAAACTCGAGTTCATGTCATTATACTGTTCTGATTCGGATGAGTGTGATGCTCAACTCGAAGTGAAACTAAGTGTAATATATTAATGTATTACTCAGTTGTGGTGTTCCACATCTGGACACATCCGAACCAGCAGAGGAGCGCAACAGATATATGTACTGAGGCAGCAGATACATGTACTGACTCAGAGGCATATAACACAGTGTATACTCTGCTGTGGTGCTCCACATCTGGATACATCCAAACCACGAGAGGAGCGCAACAGATATATGTACTGACTGTGCTCCTCGCCTCAAAGCTGATTTTTTTCTTATTTCGGATGTATCCGGATCTGGAATACTTCACCAGACTATACACGGTGTCATAAATTCGTTTCAAAATAGTACACACAAGAATGTACTATTTTAACAAATAACATGTTTTTCTCTCTCTCTCTCTCTGTCTCTCGCTCTCGTACCCTCTTGAAGTTCGGATCCCGGCGAACTTCACGTTCTCACCCTTCCGAATCGGGGTGCTGGAGGGTCTTTGTGTGCGGATTTCGCTGCGGCAGAGCCTGCGTTGTGGTGTGGCAGCGACTGTTTTGTTGCTGTTGTGTTTTGCCTGACGTTGACTGCATGGTGCGTTGTTTGATTTGCGTTGTCGTTCGCAAACAGGATGTCTTCATCGAAGGGAGAGGGGGAGCCAACAGGGACCTCCGGGAGGGAATCGGGAAAAGGTTGCACGAGGCCGTCGTCTACTGCCATGAAATCATGGTCGAACCATTCGAAGTCGAAATGGTTCATCGACTGGTGCTGTGGAGACGCTTCCAAGCCCAATGCGTAGCCATGTGGTCCTGTCATCTTCGTCGATGACAACAAAAGGCGTAGAGTGTTTGGGCCGTCTTGCGGTGGGAGAACGCGAAGGGGGGCCGATGACATTTCTATATGCAAAACGTTTATGATGCCAAGGGCAACGTCGTTGCCAATTCGAAAGGGGCGCTGTTGGACCTTGAATTGTGTGAGGGGTTCGGAGCGGGTGCTCTGAATACCCCGTTCTACAGAGAACTCGTTCTCGGGGGCGGTTTTGTTGTGTCACGTGATTTTTTCGACATGTTGGAGGACTAGAACATCGTTCTCGACATCCCCTGCGACGTCGGCCCCTCCCAAGAGCTCTCGTTGTTGTTAAGGTTGTGCGGCGGTTGCGAGTCAAGCGGGGCAGCGGCGGAGGGCGGTGATCTGGGTTCTAGTCCCGCTACTCAGCTGCACCGTGGCGAGAGCCGAGGTCAGTTCGATGACAGCGAGGATGAGGGGCCTACTCTGCCGTTGAGGCACATGCAGCGGTCTGTGTTGTCTATTCATGGGGTCCTGACGGACGCTCCGGTTCGAGAGGAGAGTGCGGCAACTACGGGAAAGGTGGCAGCCTTTTCGGAGGTCGACTTGGAGACGAGCGAGGGTCAGGGTGCGGAGGAGGGAACCACGGGCGGCCTGGGCACTCCACAGAAGAGGAGGGGAGATCGTACAGACGAGTTCGCCGTTTCTAGAAGAAATTGAAGAGCAAGGCCCCGAGGACTGCGGGGGAGAAACGCAAGAGGACCGAGGGAGAGCAGGGCCGGCAGGGTGCCAAACATCTGGCTTCGAAACATAAGCAGGCTGCGTCAGGACCATCCACTCTATAGACGCCACGGCCTCCCATCGACGTCGACGCCGGGTACTTCCTCGAGTACAAAGACGGCGTTTGGACAAAGCGGGAGTTCGAGATTAGCCCTGCGCAGGTCGTCGACCTCGGGGAGTGGGAGGACCTAGGAGATGAGCTCGTGGGACAATACTACTATTACGTGGTGTGTGGGCAACACAACGCGGCTGCAGCGAGGTCGCTGCTCGGCAGCGAGGTAGCCAGAAAATACAATTTCGAGCAGTGGCCTGCACGAATGGTATACTTTTCAGAGGACGAAATCGAAGGGTACTTCCTTGTCAATTCCCAGGACAACAAGAAGGACATGAAGGCGCCCCCGAGACAGCTGAAGCTGTCAATGAAAGACATTCGGTGGCAGTGGAAATGCGACGGTTACCCGAGAGCTGTTATGGGGAACCCCAACGGAAAACAGGATCAGGTCCGGAAATGGCGTGAATTGTGTACGACCGCGCTCAATATGACGCCGCACAACAACTTGTGGATTCTGGCAGATTAGAAGGGCGAGGACGCCATCAACAACCAAAGCGCTGTCTTGCGTTCATATTTCCCACTGGCGATGGCAGGAGAGAATGTCTGGAAACTGGCCGTCGAGTTTTTCGAGAAATGGGAGACAAGTAGATTGCTCGGCCATGTTTGCGCAAAGTGGATCATGCGGAAAAAGAAAGTCAAAAACGTGAAGCCCGGGGTTGCCTACATCGACAACGAAAAGTTGGGCAGGAAGGAGGTCGTGTACAACGTCCCTGTGGACCCACCAACGAAGAAAGGTAAAAAGGAGAAAGAGGAGGGCGACTGGTTCGTGCAAGTGCCTGAGTCGGACACATATTGTTGGAAAGCTATGGAGTCGCTGACCGACAACGATAAGTGTCACGTTCTGAAGAGGGTGCTCGCTTGCGAGGTGGTTTGGGTCCAGGCCGGCTCCCCGGCGTCGGCGAAGCTCGGAAAGTTGAGCGTCCAGGAGATGGTGCATTTGGTGAAGTGCGACCACGTGCTAGTGCGTTTGTGGAACTACTACCAGTTCAAGCACGACAAGAGGCCGGATGCAGATTGGATCCAGAAGTACCCGTTCTTGAAAACAAGGTCCGCAATTTTCAAGCAGTTCAAGAGTCATGGATTGGATGCTGAGTTGTGGGACGGCATCAGGAAATACGTCACTGACTCCTCGTTGTCCAATGACTGCCCGCCTTACATGGGTTGTGACGACAACCAATCGATCGAGGCGACGGAGAAGTTGGCCGGTCACAAGAAGCTGTCCGTGGACTGGAGGAATAAGGTCTTGTCCGTATTGACTTGCAGTAGACTAAAGAGTCGCGAGATCGCGCTTGCCGAAGGCATTGTGCACATAAAATGGAAAGACACGGGCGACGTGAAATCCATCACGCCGTTCGGCAATGACCCCTTGGAGGCGGACATTAGGAGTGCGGAGGTGAAGGAGGCAGTGGCTGCCACAAAGAACCGCACGTTCGTCCTCGATCTCTGCGAACCGGTAGACCTGAAGCTGTGGAAACCGTAAGCGTTTGACACTCTGGATTCCCAGCTTCAGACGTGGTGTCCGTCGCATTGGACGCTCCTTGTTTTCGTGCCGCGCCAGTAGAACCTCTCGTTTCAAGCCAGCATGAACCATCTTTCTTTCATGAAGCTGCTGGAAGGGAAGTGGGTGAGGAGGAGTCAACAAAAGAAAAGTTTCCCCGTCGGGAACAATTTGTACACGGAAGACGATCAGATGTACATCCTCTTCAAGGGTGACAATTTGCGCGTTAACACGTCCATCGTCTACGAGGGGAAATTGCCGGCAGGCGTCGCTGCTGCAGTGCGACTGCCACAGAAGGTTACGCAAACGTATGTGTCCGACATTCCGTTTAACACTTGCGACTGGTCGCATACCTCACCTGCACGTCGGGGCAGTGTGTACGGGGACATGGAATGCAACCCCGCGCAATTCATCAATCTTCTTGAATCCGTCAGCAAGAAGGGGGAGGGTGTCGTCTTCCTTGGGAAGCCACACGCGCGATCCGTGTGGGAACTACTGAAGGCAGGACGGCACGTCATCGTGATGGAAGAGAACTCCGACCTGTTGCAATTTGCAATTGATCTCGTCAAAAGCGATTTCATGGTCGTCAACGAGACTCGGGCTCGCGCATGGAACAACAAGACGGTTCAAGTTGAGTGAGAGGAAGCGGAACAAGATATACGACTTCTTATTCCTGCAAACGCGGCCGAAGAAGGACACTGACATCGAGTACGTGCGCCGCAAGGACCACATGTTCACGCTGCTCGAAAACTACCATGGCACCTCTCGCATGAACGCGAAGACTTTCCTCGATAAGTTGCAGTCCCTGTACTTCGTGGAGTCAGAGGAGGAGTTAACGTTCGAGAGTTACTCTTCCTTGATCTCCACGGAAGACGAGGAGACCACCGTCATCGAGTTCGACGCGAACGGGAACGAGGAGGGCAGCGACACTGAAAGCCTCGACCTACCGTACTACCCACATCCCGCGCAGCACGCTACAGGGTCATCCTTGGCAGGTCCGTCAACAAGCCTGGCATCCCTCGTGTCACCGATGGTGAAACCTGCGCCTGGCACTAACCCGATGAAGTTGGTGGAGAAACTGCAAGCTTTGGCCTCCGGCCATCGCGCACAACGTCCCGGGTCTAACATCCCACCCGACCATCTGTCTTGGAAGGATGACAACATTCACTTCCTGCCTGATCCGCAAAGTCATTCCCCTGAGGTGGACTGGGGCCATGACATGATTTGGCATCCACGAGTCATCCAGCCGGCGATCCAAAAGGGCGAGTGGATCATGGCCGTCGCTGTCGCGGTCGGAGGATGGATGCCCTTCCCTCGAGGGCCAAAGTGTAACTTCCTCGACGTCGCTAGAATTGCGGTCCTTCAAAAAGTAAGGGCCGAGAATGACTCGTTTGCACGTGACGACGTGTCCGTCATTTCCACAGCCGAGCGATTGTTCAACGAGCTTCAGGACAAGTGCTGGTTGGAACTGACGGAGGACTACTACAATCTCGATACGACCCCCTCGAAGGGAAGGGTGGACTAAAAAATCCCCCCTCCCAGTGGGACGCATATGAGTTCGGGGGCCCGGGGATCAGACGGTGGGGAGGACGAGGGCGACAAGGCTGGGGGTGGCAAAGGAGTCCCGCGTGGTTCGGAGGGCGGGTCTCACGGCAACACCACGACAGCGGAAGGCAGCGGTGGGGTGGCGGGGGAGGCCTTCGGTCATCAGCAGTCTACCGGTACAGGTCCGGAGGGCTCGACACAGTCCGCCGACGTGCCCACTTCATCCGCCGGCTCGGTGATGGCAGCCTAAAATTGGAATGACATTTTTTAAGATGGAATGAAAATTTGAAATTGAGAATGTAATTTCTCTATAAAATGATTATTTAATTCTGTAACTTTTTATGTTGTTAGAGGATGATGAAATCCGTGCCGGCTCGAGCGAAACGTGCAAGTCCGTCGGGATCCGAACTTCAATGCTTGTGGAGCGGACACAGAGGACGGACGCGCAGAGCTGGTCGGGAGCGGGGGTACCGAGTCATGATCCAAAAATTGAAAGCGGTGCGGTGAGGGACGAGAATGCGCCGCCTGCGGGGGATTGACGACCGCTTCGGTCGGAGCAAGAGGGTACATGTGGAGGGCCCGGCGACAGGGAGACGACGAAGTTCGTCGGGATCCGAACTTCTTCCGGCAACGGGGGCCGACCAGGGATTGTGGTGCCGGTGGGAGGGGCTGCGTGCGTGGAGCCAGAAGGGCATTCGTCGGAATTCGACACAGGTTCAGGCGAAATGGATGGATTGCATGCAAGGGCAGGATAATGGACGAAGAGAAGGAAGGGGAGGAAGGAGACAAAGGGGAGGAATGGGAGGAAGGGGGGGATGAAAGGGAGGAAGAAGAGGAGGAAGGGGAGGAAGGAGAGGAAAGGGGAGAAACGGAGTTGGGTGAGTTGTTTGGAGGGAAGGAGGGGGAAAAAGGGGACGTCGATACTGGAGACGACGAACGGACGTTCAGTGATGACGATGTCAGATATGGGGAGTCGTCTGACGGATTCAGGCTGCTGTACTGAGAACATCGCGAGGAAGACGACGACGACGATGACAGGGCAATGGAGATGGAGACACAGGTGGTCAACAACCTTTCGCTAGAACGTGATGACTACAAGGTCCAAGCAATGACGTCTGCCGTCGATCTCCAACACCGGTTCAACAAGGCTTGTGTTGTTGTCAGCCTGTCTAAACCGAGTGTCCGTATAGACGTCGAAGAAGTTATCGATGGCATCTTGGGCGACCACCACATGTCCGCGTAGTCGTCCTCGACGCCTGATGTCGACGACCCTCGCAACGTCAAACCTTCCGCGGCATCTACCGTGGCTTTCTCGTCGTTGAACTCTCCGATACTGCCGCCGACCATCGCCAGCGGAGGGGAAGCCGGGATCGGTGGACAACAACATGTCACGTCCCCGAAAAAAACTAGGGTCGGCACTCAAGCTCTCAACGTGCTGGCCTTGCCCGCGCCAACTTCACCGACGAAGGAGCGGAGGGACAAACCAACTGGTAAGGTGTGACAAACGCCACTCTGTCTGCACGGCCGGCCTCCCAAGAGCGAGAGTGCGGCTTCCTTCGTAGTCCGGATGTCGGCGGCCTACGTTCAGTACCATAAACACAGGGAGTGACCGTAGTGTCTGCCGATGCGGGGAGTTCCTGATGCCGGCATACTACAACCACCACTCCTTCCAACTTCCAAGTAAATGTGAACGACCTTCCTGTGAGTCGGCCAGGTCACTGGTCGTGTGCAGGGCATACGAGACAAAAACATGTGTGTTTTTGTTGAAGCATTCCCTCACAAAATGAAATGATGGTGTTTCTTTTTCGGAAATTCGTGGTTCTTATTACTCTTAAATTGTCATTTTCGTCGGGTTCGTCTTGGAATATGTATATTCATTTTCCGTTTTGTCTTCCTTCAGTTGTACAGGGGTAGGGTCATCTCCGTGGTTTGGAAAACGTCCGCCGGGATCAGGACTTCGGAGATGTTTGGCTTCCGCTTCTGTGGCTTGTTGTGGTTTTCCCTCCTGAAGGGCGGGGGTGTCAAGCTCGAATGCCCTATTCGTTTTGTTTTCCAGCGGGGCTCATGCGGAAGTTCTCTATCTCACACTCTCATGACAAAACGGGGTTCTGTAATTGCATAGGTCCTGCATATTTTAGATATTGTGGTTCTTTAATTGTCCTTTCGTCGGGTTCGTCTTCGGAAACGTGTATTTATTTTCCCTTTTGCCTTTCTTCTATTGTACAGGGGTAGGGTCATCTCGAACACGGAGGCCCTCGAAATATCTGGAACACATATTGGAGACAGTCCTGGGGTTGACGACAAAACACAATGACATGTTAAAGGCGTCAGGGGTTGATATTGAAATCGGAAAGAAGGAGCATACCATTGCCATTAAGGAGTGTCTTTCCCTTCTGCCCCCAGAGAAAGGGACATATCCACGATCTGTGACTAGGGGTCATACCATGTATGAGAAATACTTAGCTACTCGTCGTGCGATGAAGGAGAATCCTTAGAATTCCATTTCTCACTCCCCCTCGTGTCCTTTGCTTGATGTTATGTAGTGCGGGCCACGACATCTTGAACAGGCTGGGGAGGGTTCACTGTAGTGACTGCGCTTGGAAGCTTGAGGGTTTTGGACGATATTAAACGAGGTTTGGTGCCACCTAACAGTGTTCTCTCGATCCTCGGTGATGGTCAGTTGCGAATTGTAGCAAAAGATATTCTCACCCTCTCGCTTACCAACGACAGGGTGAATGATGAGGTGGTCAATTTTTACATGGCGCTATTGGGGATGACCGCATATGGAATACGTGACATCCCGTCAGGCCTTCGAGTCTTCAGCTTTAATTCTTTCTTCTTCAGTAAACTGCAACTTGAAGGACACGCCGGGGTGAAAAGATGGGCTAAAAACGTGGATCTGCTTCAATATGATATTATCTTTGTTCAAGTCCACAAAGATAATGATCAATGGATCCTCCTTTCCGTGAACTTGAGAAATAATGTTCTTGAGATTTTCGATTCTTTTTCTCGCGTTATAGCCAATTCTTGTTTTTACCTTAGTGTTTTCGAGTTAATTGTACAGTATTTGGAATGTCAAACATTACATAGGCGGTCGTGTAGGAATTGGAAGTCGGTAGCAACAAATGTTGTTTTAGAGGGAGTTCCAAGACAAGTGGATGAAGTTAGTTGCGGGGTGTTTATGTTGATGTTTGCGACACTGTTGCAACGTGGCGATCGACCACCTTTCAGGTTCTTTTGTAAAGATATTCCGCATATTAAATGACAATTGGCATCATGTATCTTGGAATGCCGTTGTCTTTGATGAATTCAATTGATTTGCAAACTTTCATTTCAGAATATTTCATATTTTAACTGTACTTTTCAAAACGACATTACTTTCTTTTATTGTTGCGAGTTTGTTTTTTGTATGCTCACTGCCAGTCTGGCGTCGCGTGTTGACTTTGGAATCTCTGTCAGGTCCCGCTCGTCTGTCATGACATTAAATTCGTCGCATTGCATTCCTCGTTTCAAATTGTGTCCAGGTCATCCAAAGTTGTACATATAATTCACCTCGAAATGATATTGGTCTGTGTAGTGCAACATGACGAATTGGAGTGTGGATGCATGACAAATCCCGGCGAGTGTGTGAGTGTGAGGTTCGTTATGCAAATAGTTAAAGACCACTGATATCACGTATCTTGTGTGCGCAGATAATCATATACTTGTGACCGCCTGAATTGCATGTAACCGACAACTTTGTGTTCGTGACCAGAAAAAAAAAATTGTATGTCAAAATTAACTGTTTGTACTTCGACTGCTACTGTGACTGTTACATTACTTGAAGTTTACAATTTCACATTGTTCAAAGCATACACGTCGAACAAGAATGCGATCATGACACCTTTCTCATCACAATTGTAAACAAGGATGAATCTCATCACATTTTTGCACATCCGGCGAGATGGTGGGCGTATTTTACGGACACTAAGTATTCTAAAGAAGGCTGAATCTCATCAACATCCAAACAACCGTCTCGGGCGAGATAATTGTCATGCATGTACAACTTACGCATAACCCAAACAAATGTATTATCCAACAAGAATTCTGTCATGACACCTTGCTCATCACATTTACAAACTTGAAGTTTGAAAGGTATGGATCCCGACATACTATCGCACAGGCTTCCCGGATGGACGTGCCTATCGCTACTTTACGTCTTCTAATATAATTATCAAACGAGGATGCAATCATGACACCTTGCTCATCACAATTATGAACTTGAAGTTTTACAAGTAAGGATCCCAGCACACTTCCGCACAGGGTTCCCTGATGGGTGTGCCTATCGTTATTCGTTTATGAAGTTTAGCAAGTACGGATTCCAGCACACTTCCGCACATGATTCCCTACACGTTTTTGAAGTTCAATAAGTAAGGATCCTAACACAATTCCACACAGGGTTCTCTGATAGGCGTGCCTATCGTTATTCGTTTATGAAGTTTAACAAGTATGGATCCCAACACACTTCTGCACAGGATTCCCAACACGTTTTTGAAGTTCAACAAGTAAGGATCCCAACACACTTCCGCACAAGGTTCCCGGGCGGCGTGCCTAACATGTACGGGTCTGAACACGGTTCCTCATTTAGGATATCATTTATAAAGTTTTACAAGTACGGATCTCAACACGCTTCTGCATGTGGTGAAGCCCTGAATGGGCGTGCCTACGTAGCTTAGAATGCGGCCAAAAATGAATTCGTTAGAAAGAGGACACAATATAATGTCATATTTTAACAAATAATATGTTGTATATTACTCGAGGCCTGCCCCTAGACATTTTGATTGATTTTTGGAATGCTATATTTTCGCAATTCGGAAAATACATAGGAATTACACACGCCTTAGCGATCGCGCCGGGGATTTGGCTCGACGGTTAGGAATTCCAGAATAAGCTGGACTCGACGTATCCTTTTTGTTCGTAAATGTTCTGGACTTCGTTTCGGAAAACTCTGGGAATTCTTGTGTGAATCTGAATAGCATAGGACTTTTTCCCACGTTCACTCTATATGCGGAACTGATGTTTTTCAATTTTAAGTTAGCGTAGGATTTTGAATGAGCTGCAACTATTGCGGTGCCCTTTTTGCTTTCGTGTCGGTGTCATGCATGCGAGCTCCTTTCCCCTCCCCCCCCTCCTTCTCCATTCCCCTCACTACCTTCGACACTCTCTTCTTCGCACTCATGTTCTTTCTCTCTCTGTAACCGTTTTTCCATTTCTGCTTTTCCTCGTGCACCTTTTCTCTTTCTTGATCGTCTGAACC